CTACTTCATTAAAGAACTGAGGAGAATTCACACAGGTTTTACCATAACCTGCAGTAATAAAAGTCCCTTTTGGTAATAAACCCATATCATAAACTCTGACAATGAAAATAAATACAATCAGCCTATATGTTTGCAGTTGCATATATAGGTTGACTGTATCGGATATCAGCATACTTTATTCAAAGTTTGTACATAAACTGTGAGAAAATAGGCTGTGTGAAGGAATATTATTTTTCTTCGTTTCCTTCTTTTTGTTCCATTGTATTGAATATGACGCTACATGCCGAAAATGAGGCCAGCACTGCACATGAATCGAACCAGTGCGTGCTCGCTATTCGGTCCTTACGATGCCATGTCAGTTCTAACAAGAACTTCTCATCTAAATGGAGGTGCTCTTTATGGAAGCTAGCCATTACGCTTTACGTTCAAAATTTGTTTCGCAAGGCGACCCATTCGTTGGCAGTGCCTCCCCCACCTTATCTTAAACGCATTGTCTGCAACAAATCGACTGATTATATATCGTAATCTTTCCAGTTACAACTGCATCCGACACCAGAATCTTTATTTGCATCGTTTCCAGTTTTTCACTTCCAGCTTTCTTAAGTGCTACTGTCTTCAGGCCAGAGAGGAAAATGTTCAAAATGTAAGCATTGTATTTGAAGCTTTGTGCCATCGCCAACATCCTTGCCATTCCACAACTTCAAAAACTTGTTGCTCACTGCTAATGTCAACGCACTCACCGTCTTAACTTCGTTTGAGACTCGTTCGTTTGTAGCCAATGCACTACCAAGACAGATATTCTGACATCTTGTCAACAACTTCGGTGTTAACGATCAGACAGTCTTTACTCTTTGTTTTAGCAATTTCCATCCACTTCGTTTTTTGTAAATTAATCGAGAAACCCAGATCAGAATACCGTTGCTTCAGAGATAAGAACCGCGATATCACAGCTTCAAAGCTGTCTGCAAGCAATAGGATATTATCCGCAAATGCAAGAAAATTTAGGCAGATATTGCCCATTTTTCGCCGTAGATTTATTTCTTCGTAATGGATAAAATACCCAGCGAAAATAACGTCACCAACAGCAGGAAGATATTCAACTCCTCCTTGCCTTATTTCTAACCTTGTACGGAAGAATTTGCTGAATTTACCATCAATTTGTACTGCACTTCACGAAAAATCATACATCTTTATTACTATGCTAATAATCCTTGATGGCATTCTTTATGGTTCACAGACTTTCTACAGGGCATCTCTCTCGAATGAATCAAACGCTTTGGTAAAATGAACAAAGATTAAAAATAATTTGAATCCCCACTCTCTGTCCAATGTCTCATTATGAATATCTGAAAAAACTATTCTCTACCTCTCCTGAACCTGGATTGCTCTTCACGTCAGGACTTCTCAAGATGGTGTTTAATCATGTCCACGATAATACGCATGAACACTCTACTAGAAACGGGTAACAAGTATATTTCAAGGTAGAACGATGGCTTGTTTTAACTTGTAAATACTGAAATCAAACAAATAATGCTGTATTTTATTACTCTACCTAATCCTATCATTCAATGTAGAGAGACCATAAAGGACGAATACGAATTACACGCAAAAACACCTGAGTGAATAAAATGAAAACAAGTTAAATGACATTACTTTAAACATGGCATAACCAAAAAATGTGATCTGCACCGTGATACGAATTTGTGCAATTTTTAACATTGCCCACTGAGCTAACGATCGATGGCGAATAAAAAACAGACACGCATAGTTCAACATAATGCTCTAATGTTGACGATGATGTCTCACAGGCATCTGAAAATGTCAGCATCTTCAGCCATCAATCGACCCATCGTACTGTATGCCACTAAGATCCAGAAACGTCTATCATCTTTCTAAATATTTGGCCATCTCTGCTCGATCCTTCATCTATTTGGTTAGTGAAAGATGCGAAGCCTGATATTCTGGTTCATTATGTAACTCGACATAAACGAATTTACCTATTTTTAATATTTGTTCGTAATGCGTTCAAGGATTTCAACAGTAATGAGTACTGACCTTATTTACCTCACTATATGTCTGACAGAACTAAATCACTTGCATGGTTTAAAAAAATATTCCAATCTTCTTAATGCGATTTCAGTTGTTGAGACTTGTGTGCAACGTAGCAACAAGGACCACTCTCGGAACGCCTTTATAACAGGTATAGTAGAAGTAGGTTACACAAAAAACATTTACCGAATGCCGATTAAGATGAACAGGCCAAGTAACACAAGATCTGAATATAATATCGACTTTACTCTGATCAGTGAAAAGACCAGGGAATGGGGATGAGGAAATAGAAAAATAACAGAACGATCATCAGGATAAAGACGAAAAAGAAAAAGGACGAGTTAGAAAACAAACAACGGAAAAAGGATTAATCTCTGTCACTCTGAAAGTTGAGAAGCGAAACTATACAAACCAAGACACGTCTGCTCATTTATCTCCCTAGGGTCTTGAATAAAAATAAGTAAACAATACGACATTTTCATACGACTAGAAATGGGGTTGACAACACTGTGAAGTTTTTTACCATTCAGCGATGTGGGGATAGCATAAAACGTAACTTACTCATGCCGATTTCAGCTGATTACCGTCGAAAGAACGTTATGCACAAAAGACTATGACGCAGATATATACTCACGTTCGATTTCCACCTCTCGCGTCACATACATGCCACTCTTAAAGGTTATTCTGTTGCTAGCGTCTATTTTCTTCTTTTCCTCGACCGCACTCGTTCTCTCCTGCCACCTCTCGAACTTCCTCCAAAAGTAGCGTTGACGCTTCGAAACTGTTGTGGCCAACGCCGAGTAACGGCCTTGCAAGGTTGTTACGCGTATCCAATTCCAACATATCATTGAAGCCACTAAAAAATACTTAATGTAAGCTATATTCAAGACTGGATTAAAGCACAAAAATTGATACACTTAAACTATGTCCAAAACTCGTATTGTCCTGTGCCTGCTTATTCAATATACATTGCAGCAACTCGAAGTCTTCAGACACAACCAGGTGAAAGACGTTTAGGCGTTCGCTGTCATCATTTCAGCAAACCAACAGTGGTAATTGGGAGAAAGATTTTATTACAATTCACGGCATACAGCATTCACAAGGCGAAGGATTTCGACTACCCTATCAGTCCTGTTAGGTCAAAACGATTCAGCTCACAGATGCAGCAGTTACTGGAATGGTTTTTACTGAACAGGGCTGGCAGGTTCGGTCGAGGTCGATGTCGAGTCCTTTTGTGCCGCGTTGCATGGCGTTACAAGATAAATTCTGCTCTCCTACTGGTTTCTTGTAGTGACAAGTATCTTCGAACTTTAACGCTGATCATTAGCATGATTGCTGTTGTTGTTACTGTTTCATCCTTAATGATTAAGCCAATTCCAACGACGTCCCGGATCGCTGTTTTTCACATCTGTCGATTTCGCGAAATGTCTACCACTAAGTTTAAGCACTTTTCTTCCACCGACTGTAGCCATACACTGCAGGCTACGAGGGACTTCAGCGTCAACTCAGTGCCTCACCAGATCGTAATTTGTTCACCCTTTCTGCGGTGCCATCAAGGTTTTTGGGCAAGGTTCAGTGCAATGACAGTGACGTCCTCTGGTGGGCATCTCAGCTCGTTCTCCAACCAACGCAGTCGTCGTACTTTCAGAACCGTAAAGAACTGAATGATGTCTCAACCGGTACGGATGGTGCTGCTACAAACTATCGTTGATAAATGGTGTCTATGAGATGATTTGTAAACATTGTTGCAGAATTCCAGTTTCCTCAGCTTTTCGACTGCTATGGCCCAGCTGCCATATCCATAGAGGAGGAAGGAGCGGATGGCGGCTTGCAGAACTAGAAACTTAATTGTCGGCATGGTTATATTCCTTCACGAGCGAACGAATCAGCCAAAGTATACGGGCATCTTCTGATAGAAGCCTTCACTCCCAACTGAACCACGTTATCATCAGCCATAAATGGCGCAGCTCATTACTCGAGACTCGTG